ATTTAGATGCGAATCACAAAGTGTTTTTTATGGTGAGTTGAATGTAATGGGGAATTTCTTGACAAGATCAACAAGATGAAATAATCTCTTGCCTCCTCCTTTTTGAATATGTCTTCTCAGTTGGAAATATGTTTTTTTATTTATTCGATTGAGTTTTCGTGGTTCGCTTCAAGCTGATAATGAACTACCATATTTAATTGTGAAAAATTTAATTATCTTCGCCACATAAAGAACCCAAGATAAAATGCAAATGACAACTTAACATAAGACTGTATTCGGCGCACGTCAAGGCCAAACATAAAAGTTTTACACACTCCGACAATAATTCATATATGTGTGTGTTCATTTCTGGTTTATTTTATTTTTTTTTCAAAAAATAATTTACTCTTCAGCTCGTAAGCGATTTTAAAATCGAACATAAAAAGATTTGTTGAGATTATACTTCAAAATAATAGATCACTTTTGAATGAAGTCAAGCGCGTAAGTTAACGAAAATGTTCAACATTGCGGAAGTGATAAGTTCATTCACTTTTGTGGAAAAGTGGACAGTATTATTTCAGGTAGCACGTTAAATGTTTGAGATTCAAACTAAATGTTTCTAAGTCAATAAGTTCAGAAATTGTTGTGGCCATTTTGAGAAAATATGATTTCCTTATCATCATCCATTGTGGTGTATAAACTTTTAAAGATATTAACACAAATTCGCTTTTGTCGTGTTGTGGTGAGACCGAGTTGGTATTTGATCTTTAAAGTTGAACGAAACCATTATTATATAAAAGATAACATTGTGTGGTATTAATTCCACTTTCAAAAAACTTATTTTAGGGTTTCAGCGAAATAACTATGGTCGTATATCATTCGACGCATTTAAATCTAAATCAACCAACCACACACATTCATGTCATGTCTGTGATGGACGTGGGGTCTGACATTCAATTGAGACTAAGTAGCTGTTTGATGCTTATCGCTATTATTCGTTTGCGTTTCATAGCATAACCGACCGTTGATTAAGTGATAGCATTGTTTGGTGCTAAAAACTACTTGTGTTTGAAAATTTCATAAACGCTTTTTTTGTGCTAAAAATCCTTTGAGTAATTAAATTAATGCAAACAGCAGGATCATCACATGCAGATTTCTGCACCGCATCGACGACCAGACGAACACAATGAATATTTGCTTCAAAAAGCGTAATCAAATATGCGTAAAATCGGTTTTGTTGATTTCAAAGCGAAACATACTAAATTCGATGGGGATGAATTGGGTTTTATTTACAAGCAATGAAATGAAAAAAAAAGATTGAAAATTCACACAAAACAATTTACTGGGGAGATCAACACAATATTTGCTTATTCAATTTGACAGCGTTTTTTTTGTTGCTTTTATTCGACATTTTCAAATATCGCTACAATGCCGTTTGTTTATTATAAAATCATTGAATTTACATGGACGTTTTTTCTCTCTCTTGTTGTTTGTGCTTCCTTTTCACTTACTCTCTCTTTCTAATTTGAGAACTCTATGAATTTTTGGTGTTCGTTTTTGTGTGAACCGAAAGCCCGCATAATTAAATCACCGAAATTGTATACAGTTATTTACAATTGCAGCAGCAACAGTATATCCCATAATGCGCGTGTGTATGATGGACGCTCATACCCGACAATCAAACACTCACACACACGCCCGACGAAGAGAGAATTTATTATAAAACCAATTTTCTAAACAATTAATGTTTTCTACATACGTTTGATCATTACGAACTGCGTATTTTGACTAGTACTACTACTAGTGAATACTGAACGTTTTTTATTGGTTCAATTTCTCTTTCTTTCACTCTGCCTGTCTCTCAATGTGTCGGCTCGTTTATCTGTGAATTTCCCAATGAAATGCTTCCCAAATGTGTCGATTACAATTGATTACTGAATATGCCATTTCAATCAGGGAAAATTCGCCGCCACTGCTGCTATTATAGATCATGCTGCACCAAATAAATACAATATGATCCCGCTGACGTTGAAAATAAATTCATGGTCAGATTAATCATTTATTAGGAACTTTGATTGAACGATGCATTAATTTTTGAATTGATTCTCATTTAGTGCATACATTCAGAAAGAGACTTTCCCAAGAAATGGTGAAGTTTTGTCATTTAAAAGCCGTACATTATTTGATGGCCTGATACCAAACGATGTCAACGAATTTCAAATTAAAATTTGATGCTAAAGAATACCTTTTTGAATGACTCTTTGCTTTCTCTTGATAATTACGTATTTCCGCAGAAATATTTGGAATAACTCAAGTCTGAAACAGGACTGTATTCTTTGGAAGGATGATTATTTAGAAAAGGTTGAAATTATTAATAAAAGTCACAAAAATTACTTGCATTAAATTGATTTTTTTGAGGTTCCATCAACAACACATGCTGTTTTTTTCCGCTCTTTGGCGACATTTCGATGACAATACCAGCAGGTGACTTACGTAATGTCATCAGTGGTTTGGTTTGTCTCTAACTTTCTTTTAATTAAATGATTTGAGCGTGAATTGTAATTTGTTCATTTTTTTTGTCTCATTCGTCGATGATTTTTCACTTGCTGTCAATGGATCTTAGTTGAAAATGCTAGTGAACATCAAATGTATTCACAACTTAAAACAAAAAGAAAAATATTTTGGACCGAAGATTGAATCATAGTGCATAACACGTAAAAATATTTGTATATGTTTGTGTATAAATGTCGATACAAATGCCTTTTTAGCCTCTATCATTAATCTTGTGAATATATATCCACGTTCTAATCTCACTGCGATTAATCATGTTCGAACGGAATTCGTTTCTAAAAATCAACACGAAAAAAAGTGGTAGTAGAAGAAAAAATGCGGCGCTTCGACTTTCATTTTGATAGATTGATCACGGTGGATACAATGTTACCAAAACAAATAAAGCAATTAGACTGAACTGATATCGCATAATTACAATGTTGAATGTTTTCTCGGCCAATCGCCTTTAAAGGTGCACTGATCATCGATTGAGTCTTTGTACCTTTTTTTCGCTTTTAGTAACAGCCAATAAACAGATACATATCCACACGCCGTTTATCCCGATGTTGTGTGGAAATTGGCTGATTGCAGATAAATGTAGCCATTAATTTGGTAATTAAAAGGAACGTAATTCGTTTGGCACGTCATTATGGCACCAAATTGCCATTAAATCACAGTTCGACCGAAAAATCGGTGCGAAGTCATGGTCTTTATTCGTCGTTATTATAAAAACCAAATTTCATCTTTATCAACTCGGTAGTTAATGCAATAAATGAGTCAATCAGATAGCTTTATTTGTCATTTATTCTCAGACGAACCGATAAACCAACACACATTTGGCACACTGAACTCATCAAATGTGAAATTGCTTACATATGGAGACAGTCGCACTCATACAAGCACAGCAATGAACAACCAGACCAAAGAAGAATCAGGACACAAGAGAAATCATTTAATGCGATAAGGCGTAAGAAATAGCACATAGCAGAAATAAAACGATTGGCGCTGTGTAAGAAGATGTGCATCTGTCTTATATATATTCACTTTTTCACCTTTTTATTGCATCAACAACCAAGCATTTTGTGGCTTGCCGCAGAGATTTCATTCCAATCACTTGGAAATGCAATATGTTCGCTAAAACAAAGACCATACGAAAAGATAAAATTGCGAATAATATCATGCTGTGTATGAGGAGGAGAAGAAAATCATTCGATGAAAAATAAAATATATCGAAGCGTTAAATCAGATAACAAGAATTCGGAGCGAACAAAACGGAATGAATGGTTTTTGAATTGAAAAATCAACTCGACGAAAACGCTGCCTAGACTCTTGAATGAAAATCTTTCAGCAAATATTTTGAAAATCAATTTATTTAGAAAAAAATTGTTAATATTATTATCTAATTCCCAAAAATATACATTTTACCATTTTATTTCGTGAATATTGTGATGAATGAAATGAAAACTTTTTCCCACACTCATAATTGAAACTGCGTGCAGAAAGATACAAATTTTAACAAATGAATCGTTAAAACAAAACCATTTGAAAATTTATGGCTTGCTTCATTAGCGTTAAATCGCGAGCCCTTTTTTTCCCATCATTTTTGGTTGCACCAAACGCTACCATAAATATGAAATTGCCGCCGTTTTTTTGTTGTTTGGTTGATTAGTTGATTTTTCCGTTCAATTTTCAAAGTATGAAGCAAAAACGATATTCAATTGCTACACTAAACAGTGTTCATCATCCCCTCTTCTCAACTGCACTTTATACTCTCTTCGTATCGTATCGACGAACATTGCATTGTTGCGACCCTCAATCTTGCAGAAAGTTCCTTTTCTCTTGTCGTTCATATTTAAAAAAAAAAAGAGGAACAAAGAGAGTGAACAACCTACCGATGATCTAATGTTGATAAGAAATAAAAACCAAAAACAAAAACACATAAAAACATATAGACGAAGCCAGCCACCACAAGCGCAACACATTGATTCTCTTAGCGCGTACGTAAGCATTTGCCTTTCATCGTACACTATATCCTAATCGGGCGTTGTAATCTAGAAACGGCAAAACGTATAAATAAAAGAAAACGTAAAAAAATGGTTTTGTAGTAAAAACGGTCGTTTGTTCGTTCGTTTCATTGTTAGTCAAAGTATAGTCGTTTGAAGGTTGTTCGGATGTGGTCGTTGTAGGCAACGCGCTAAATGCGTGTTTAACGCTTCAATTTCGTCTCAAACGGTATTTATCACGCAACACATATCCTTCAGCACAATGCATATAGGTAGAATGATCGAATGGGAACCGAAACTACTATAATATTTAAAATGTGTAGAAAAAGCAAACGCTTTCACGTGTTCTTCTCTCTTTTTTCTCCTCGGCTGTAAATGGTGAGAAATAGTCGATTCGATGGCAAACTAGTTAAGAAATCGAGCAATAGAGAGAGAGAGGTGTGCTTCATTCAATTAGCGAAACGGTTTTATTGTGAGAAAATCATTGAACAATGGGTTGATATGTTTAAATACGATCATTATTATCGAGTTTGTTACGTAAATACACATCAATAAGATATGTAGCCGATGCTTCGGAAATTCCTTCGATTTCAGCTTTCAAATTTATTTGTTTCATGATTAACAGTTCGCGATGCACGTGATCATTGATGAATGGCCGATTTAGTATATTATCCAATTTTCTCTTATCTTCTTGCGTCAATGGAATCGCGCGAATACCAAATTTTCGAATGTCCGAGGGAAAAATTCCAAGCCAACGCACCGATGGTACTGCTAATTCTTCGGCAAGATTTGACATGGACTGGAATAAATCGATGATCATTTTTGGATTTTTTTTAGGTGATTCGATTTAAAAAAAATAAATAAATTCAAGTATAACTACTTACCAACGAACCATGACGGTACGTAAGCATGATTTCGGCTCCGTATGGGTCAGCATCGGTGACAATATCAATTGGTAATGAATGCAGCTCACGTAATTTACTCAAAATGAGTCGAGTGTTCATATCTGGATAACCTTTTCCGGTTATTAGAATGCAAGTGTAATTCCAACGCTCCAAAATGTTATTCTGAAGCAAACTTTTGAATACAGTATCTTTTTCAACTAACAAAATGTGCTGCGCTGTGGTTCTCAAGTCAACGATTCCAGCCGTTAAATGTGGCAATGTAATTCCTTTCAAAACAGAAAAAAAATTGTAGAATTAAGGCATTTCATTTAATTTTTGATTGAATTTTTGCACGAAAAAATTAAACAAATATCAGAAATTTCGAAAGATAAAAATACCGTTTCTGTCCATACTACAATCAATAATCGAGTCATCCTGTAGATGAATTACCAATCGTCCAGCGATCAGTCCCTTTGACGTAGACAATACGCCAAGTTGCCATGGTGTTGCATCCAAGAGACAACAAACCACTTTCAGTGCTTCATTGACATTTTGCTGTTTTTGTGTGAGCAAAACGTTTTTGTAATACAATTCTCTGAAAAATAGAAAATTACCTTCTGTGACTTTTAGAAATGAATCGATTCGACTTACCGAACAGTGCATCTTCTATTGCTCAAAAGTAGCTCATGAATTTCACTAAGCAGATAAAATATCAGAGATAAATTGAAAGCTGATCGAATACGTCGACATCGGGCATTTGTGATTGGAAGCAATACGAATCTGTGTAAAATTAGCAAATAAAAATGTTGATTCAATTTTGGAGAAAAAAAATCGTATACCTTTCATTTTCGATGTAACAATTGTCCCAATTGCTACGGTTTTGAACAAGAACTTGAATTCTACAGCCATTTGAAATATTGTTCATCACTACCGCTATGAAATTTTCAATACGTTCAATGATTGCGCTTGACTCCGCACTGATGACGATAGGATTGCTTTAAAAAAAAACATGATATTCAAGTCACATTGAAATGTGAAACGAATTCTCTCTAACTTACTCTGCCATCGTCAAAATAGTTTCATCGTCGTCTGAATCCAGGGGATTTTCTTCTTCGATCACAGGTGCTGCCATTCGTTGCTCGCCATTTTCATTTTCTTGTGGCAAAATCGCGCGTTGTTCTAAATGATAATTCTGATTATTTTAGAATTGTTTCCTATAAACTTAATGTTGATTTATTACCTGGTTCAAAATTTGGAAAAACTAGTTCGTATGCAAATGGAGTTGGTGGAATTTCTTGAGTTTCTTCGTCGCTGACAGGCATTACATTTGGCAAATGCTCCGGTGACGTTAGGCCCAATTCAGTTGGTACTTCATCGTCGAATAAATTGGGTGAAATCAAACCGATCGGTATTTCTCCATTGTTCAACTCATTGTTTTCAAGTGCTACTTCATTATAATGTAAATTTTCCGAGATTTCAGTGAAAATATTGGGTGCATTTGGCAGTTGCAACGCTTGTGACAATAAATCATCACTCGCTTGATTTGGCACAAATTCTTCTTCACTTGTAAACGACGATTCAGAAACAATCACATCATCTTCATCCTCAGGCTCACTATTTTCAATAAAATCTGTTTCGGGAACCAAATCCAACTCATCTTGCAGTGGAATGTTTGCATTGCTTTGAACACTATCATCATCAGATTCGCTTGAATCAGTTTCCATGATAATTTCATTGATAGATGAGAGATTTGATTGATTCTCGTCCGCCACTGAAAAAATAGTTTCATCGTCGTCTGCATCCAGAGGATTTTCTTCTTCGACCACAGCTGCTATTTGTTGCTCGCTATATCCATTCTGCTCATTTTCATTTTCTTGTGGCAAAATCACGGGTTGTTCTAAATGATAATTCTGATTATTTTAGAAGTGTTACCGATAAAGTAAATGTTGATTTCTTACCTGATGTGCTTGCCACAAAAATTGGAAACCTCCGTTCATTTGCAAATGGAGTTGGTGGAATTTCTTCAGATTCTTCCTCGCTGGCAGGCATTTCATTAGCCAAATGCTCGGGTGATATTGGTACCTCATCGTCGAATAAATTGGGTGAAATCAAACCGATCGGTATTTCTCCATTGTTCAACTCATTGTTTTCAAGTGCTACTTCATTATAATGTAAATTTTCCGAGATTTCAGTGAA